CCCATAAATTTCTTAAAGTAGAAATGAATTGAAATAAAGCCACCCTAATATTTCTAATAATTAAACTCCCAACCTTCACCCTTACAAAAACAAATTAAATAGAACTATAAAATATTGAATAGAACTAAATAGAACATAAGATATTAAATAGAACTATAAAATATTGAAAAGAAATAAATAGAACTATACATCCTACCTTAAACATTCTTATATAGTTCTAACTCCCAACCTCCTACTTTTTTCCTGAAGATTTATTCAAGTATACCATGGGAATGCCAAGACAAGCCCAGCTACTTGAAGTTAGTCTTTCCATCCCAGTTATACTGAATAAAATTACTACAAAAATTATTATAAGCTAGTTATAAGCTAAAATAACTAACTCACTCTATATTTTATTTATACAATATTTTCCTTAATCATTAGTTTTAGTTTATAAAATATTTTTGTATTTATTGAAAAGCATTTCTTTAATTGCCCATCTCTACAGTTATCTTTCAATTTATTTTTAATAATAAAACATTACCCATAAAAGAATTATAGTTACTACATACTATTAAGAACTGTTTTAGTTGAGATATGATAATACCTTTAACAACAGACATTATCCGTTATGATAATAACTTGACAACTACGACTGATAACAGTATTGCAATACATATATATATAAATACACACACACACACACACACACACATACATACATATATATATTATAAGTTATAAAGCTCACTAATGTCTTACTTTACTGCTTGGAATCTAGCATGAAAAGAAAGAGATTTCTGTGCAAATACTTCACAGAGGCTGAGAAAACCACTAGGGGGACATTCCGAGCTTTTGATTGGCTAAACACACATCATTGGGTGAAGTAGGTGTACATAAGCAAGTATTTTCAAAAATAGAAGAGGTGGGCGGGGTCACCTTGATCAATTCAATAAACATATTAATATCTCAGAAAATAGAAAAGATAGGAGGTTCTTGTTATTCATTTTGTCTTTGTCAGTATTGGTAATTTCAGTATTTAATTCGTAAAAAACTACAGAATTTGTATTTGGACATCATAAACATCTAATTTGAACCAATGCTGCATTCAACGTATCATGTGACATAAAAATCAATATTTAAGAATTTTTTTTTATATTTACTTTTAAATTAATAAATTAACTTAATGTATAATATTAAAATTTGAATTATGATCTACAATTTGATACCAAACTTAGACATGTATTTATAAAATATTAGTTCAATACAATTTTGAATGCAAGTCAACAAACATAATGACATGGCCTTTGACCCATCTTGTTAGGGTTAACAAGAGCTCCTAAACATCTCATACAGTATAGCCATAGCCATTTAATGCTCTCTTTCATTTACATTAGAGCTGGAGTTATCCTTACACTTTTCATTGTTTGAAAACAGAGGTAGTACCCGAGTTAAAGTGAAGTATTTAAAGTGATTTCCAAGATTTATATGTTCCCCTCATGCTTTCATTTTGCAAGTCCAAAACCTACCTAGTTGTTTGAATTCTAACAAGTAGCCTAAAATCGGAGCAGCACCAGAACGACCATTCCTCCACTGTAAAGTGACTGAGGTGTGTGTTTTATGAAGAGTCAAGCTCTTGGGTGTTCCAGGAGAACCTGTGGGACACAAGTTAAAAAGATATGCAAGAGATACATTAATTGTAAAATTTTTCTAAACTTCATCTGCCTGATATCTTTAACTCATTTAATGGAACATAGTTTGCCAAATTAGTAATTGTGAACCAAGATAAAAGTATATATTAAACAGATATTTCCTCCATTCATTATTAGTACTTGTTCCATAATTTGGGTTTTTCTTTTTCTTTTACAAAATAGGTTAACACATTGTAAATACATTTCACTTCTATATTTAAAATCGATGTTAAACTTGTACTGTAATTTAAGTATAAAATAAATAAGAAACTCCCAGATCATACAAGAAAATGTACTTTAAAACAAAAAAAGCCATAGAGATAATGCTGTTAAAAATCATACCTTCTTGTGGTCCTGTTGTCACATTACCAGAAGTTTCTGGCCCATAACCAAAGGTTTCAGCTCGTACCCGAAAAGTGTATGTCAGCATCTCACCAAGTCCATTAACTTTCAGGTATGTTGATTTGACTTTCTGTATTACCTGTTTACTGGCTCCTAGGAAAAAAAAAAGTGTGGTTTTAATTTTTATTGTAGAACACAAATACCTATTTTAGTTCTAATGTGATCTTAAAGTCATTAAATAATTAGAAATAAAAACAGTCTAATCAGTTATTAGCTTCAATCAAAAATTATTTCACACTTCTCTTAAGCAAGAAAAAAAATCTTAATCTGATGAATCAACTGTCAGTCAAACATTGTTAAAAATATTTATATAAAACTTAAATGTTGAGATATTTTATATGTATACTATTTTCAATGTTAATAATCAGAATTAATGTTAGGTCAAATATGTACATCTTAAATATTGGGTAAGTGTTGAAAATATAACTGAGCATTTAATTATATCCTCATACACGAACTGTATTAACAGAATAATAACTGAACGAACATTTTAAGCTTCCCATTTTTGTAACAGCAACTGAAAAAAAAAGGACATTATTATGTCAACCAATTGTAGTATCTAGCTGCTAAACAGAAAGGAATTATTTCTGTTCAATAAAATCTTTTCTGAAACCATTGGGATTACAAACCACAATGATACACGAATAAATTATGATATTGTAATGTGTGGAAACACCTGTTAAAATCTAACTGTAACTGTCATCACCAACTTTAATGATAAATAGCTAGATTACATTATTCTGAAGTGTAGAAATTACTATTAACCTTCTTACTATGGGCTTGGTAGATCACACTAACTTTGTAACACCCCAATTGACCATCAGGATTTCCATATGATAACCTTTAATATGTTGAGTATTTTCACAAATATTTTCAAGGTTTTAGTAAATGTTACAGGTTTTTGTAGACAAAATATCAGAGTTTTTAAAGAAGTATTTTTACTAAAAAATTTTCAGTAAATAAATGGAGTCAGAGTGTTGACTGCTCCAAGATTTCACATGTCAGATTCTCTACCCTAACTCTATATAGTGGTCAGTCGATTTGACCAACCCCATAACTACCGTAAAAAATTAGGAAATAAATCTAAATTACCCTTTTTTCTTTAAATAATTACTGCAAATTGTAACAGGAAAGCAGAACTCTTTATCTTAAATAGTTTACAGCTTGTACCAGTATACATCTGTTTATGCTTAATTTTATTGCCCTTTTAACCATGTTCAACTAATTATCCGGCCACACCAGTTGCAAGTCACTTGATGATTATGCAGCTCACGAGCATGCCTTGTGAAAAATTATTATTTTTTTCATTATCTAACTCCAATAAGTTTCTAGTTTTTACACTTTAGTTATAATAATAAATAAAGAATGCACATGAAAAACAAGATATAGTACTTACCTATGTCTCGTTTTTTTGCAATCAAATGTTGATAACACTCAAGCCTAATTTTTTATACTAAATATGACTATTCTAAATAATTTTTATTTAATTAAATAATGCGCCAAAGAAAACAGAATAATCATTTCCAAAAGGAGACGGTGTCTCATAACTATCAAAATTTTTTCTGGCTTTTTAACTATGTGACAAGAGCTGTTAAAAATTCAGCTAACTTTGTCAATGTGTTTCTCATGGGAAGAAAGTTTGAAGTAAAAGCAAAATTGAGAATTCTCTGTACAGGAAAAAAACGTAATACAATATGTCATTCGGTAGATTAAAATCTTGTCTTTCTATTGGTTATAAATAATATAGTATTAAACGTCAGAGAGAACTAGAACTATTGCCAATTTGTGAAAGAGGATGTGACAGGTGGGCTTGGCAAGAGGGGTCTGATTTTCTAGTTTATGGCTCTATATCCAAATAAGATTGAAAGCTATAAAAATTGTTTTGTCTGAGTAATAACAATATTATAATAAATAATTGATGTTAAATTCTGTACTTCTTGGAGAGGGTGGTAAATAAATTAGAGAAGAGAGAGCAAATGTCACAATTTTAATACTAAGGGATATTGAGAATTTTGAAAAATATTTTCTTATAAAACTAAGAACTTAAAAACTTGTATAATATTAAAATTTTATTTATCAACTACATTTTGCTGCCAAATCTACTTACATACAATGATAATAAAGTGGGTTAATTAAATTTGAAATGTGACTCTAAAAATTTGTGACATGCAAACTTACATCTACCAGTAGTGAGAGGGTTAATATCTAAATGTAACTGCCATTACCACCTTTAATGATAAATAACTAGATTATATTTTTTAGTTAATCCCATGAACAGCATGCTTATTCACTTGTTTCCAGTAATATGTGTATTATGCAAAGTTGAGATCAAGTTAAAGAAAGAAAAAGTATGAAGTATTTTGAGTCCAATGCTGAGCAACAAAGGTAAAATTCTGAAAATTAGAAGGTCTCTGGTGCATTCTCCTGTTTCGTTTTTTCCCACATACTTAACAGATATGATGGCTATAAATTTTACGGTAAATTAGCAAGATTTATTTAGCAATTTGACAATACTATGTGCATAACAAAAATAATTTATTTCGCCAACAAATCCCACCTGAATGTGTTTAACCAAACTATCAACTTTCTAGGCTTTGATTCATCAGGCTACTCAACAACTTTTGCCATTTTAAAAACTTATTCCATTTTTAAATTAAACTAATATGCAAATCTTTAATTAATTCTTCATGTGAAATCTCCATGCCATAAACATATCGTTTATTAAAATTGGGAAGATGTATTAAACTAGGTTCTGAAATTGATTTGTCAAAAATTGCAATAGTTTTATGAAAAATATCAAAACGTAGAGAATAAATAGATATGCAAGATGGAAAAAATGTCATCATTTGTTTACTCAAGCTCAAGTTTTAGTGAGTTTTATTTTTGAGCATGTCATTGGAATGGTAACTTTCTCCCCAAATTATGGTCCTATCTTGTGAACAGCCTTGGGTGATATTAAAAAGTTGAAATCTGTCAATTTGTGGATAATTCTCATTTGTAGTATATGGTAAAAAATGGTTATCTTAATTCTACAGAAGTGAAACTAATGTATTCATTGACAGAAGGCATAAATGTTATAAAAAATGATACACCAATTGTTTTACACGAAACTAATTTTGGATGCTTCCATTTTTAATAAAAGGAAAAATTTAAGATAAATGTCAAACGACTGCCTAAAACAAATTTAATATTTGATCATGTCCACCCCAAAACAAGATTATTGTTTCAAGGTCTGTACTACAAAGTACATCTGTCAATTGAATTGGCATTTGCAGCAACATCAATAAAGGCTCAAAACTAGCAGCCCAGCATGCAAATCATCAAAAAATGACACACATTGGTCAATCATATCAAAAAACAATTATTTTTTAAATTATTAAAAACTTCCAGAAAAGAAAAAAAAACCTAATGTTTACAATTTGGTCAACTTTGACAATACATTTTTAAGTTTTAGGTAACTGGCAGTTGAAATAATGACAAAAATGAAATATTTCTCATACAAAAATTCCATAATTTTATGATGATGATACAATGTTTTTCACTTAAAATATATCTAGAAGTTAAAGTGCATGTAATATGAACCATGGGGCTTACTAGAAATGTTGGGTTTCAATGGTATGTCTTATTAATTCTCTTTTTCTGAGGTATAAATGAAATTTGTCTCCTATCTTCATTCATATTCAGTATTTTTAAACATTATCTTTGAAATAAATCAAGAAGCTAAATCTTATGATTTTTAAAATTTATTTACATGCACACTCGGAAATGTTTGGAACTACAAAACTAGTTATTGTTACATTATGTTCGATATTAAAATATACAAATTGTTTTCAGTGAAACCTTCAAATTCTCTAACATTTTGAAAACTTGTATATGTCAGCCACAATTGCAAATATAGCAAGCACTATGGCAAACCTACAATTAGAGACTGTACGGACACTGTAACACAACTGTCATCAAAGGGTTACTTTGACTGTTTTTTTTGTGAAGACTAATATGTATTTTATTTGGAAGCATAATTGGAAAATTAAAACAATGAATTTTGACACACTGTTGTTTTTGTAGATAACTAAAAACAAAAATTAAAGCATAAGGGTATTTTTTGATAAAACAGTTTTATACAGTGTTTCATATTTATAAACATGCAATTACAAAATTTTGTTTGGAAGGTGCAGAGCAAAATTTCTCAATATACCTGTACCCACTACTTTAACAAGTTCAAAACAGATATTAAGTTTGTTGTGATTGTTTAACCTTAGCATTCTCCTTACTCCAAGTTCTTTGTAAACATTTCTTTTTACATTTATACACTTTCAAGGAAGCATGAGATTAAGACTCTACACTTTTACTGCTTCAGTCAATAATGGGAAAGGGGTTGCTCATTCAGTATATTTGTCATAATGAAATTAGGAATTTAACAGAGCTAAATGTTATTATTTACTATTAATTATTATCTTCAACCTACCTTAATAGTATATTCCATTTCTTGTAACACTAAATACTTTTATTTTTTAATAAAAGTATAAGAATATTTTATGCAAAACTGGTTCTTTTGATACTTTTCTAACAACCACAGAAGTTTATATTATTGATTAAAAAAAAATCAAACCTTCAGTGGTTTCAGTCTTTTTTTTTTCTTTTCTAAGTCTAATTTAATCCTTTTGATATGGGTCACAGGTGAAAGGCCATTTCATCTCGTTTGTTGACTTGCATTTCAAATTTTTTTTAACTATTATTTCATGAATTTATGTCAATAAGTTTGATATCAAATTGTAGAATATAATTCAAATTTCAGTACTATGCATTATTCAATTTCTTAATTTCAAAGTAAATATTAAAAAACACACATTGATTTTTGTGTGTCAAGTGGTATGTTCAATACAGCACTGGTTCAAATTAGATGTTTCTGAAGTCAAAATACTAAGTCTATAGTTTTGTACAAATTAGAAACTCAAATTATCAATATTGAGAAGCTAGAATATAAAATAAAAATGTCTTATCTTCTATATTTGCTAAGATATTGCTCATGTAATAAATCCAACAGTGGTACCCCACCCACCTCTTTCCATTTTTGGAAATGCTCCCTTATATATAGTTACTTCTATATATGACATGAATAACCAATTGGGAGCTATGTCCCCATAGTGGCTTTCTCAGCCATTTTAACAGATTTGTATGCTATTTCTTTATTTTGAACCAGTATTTCAAGGAGGTAGGGTGTGTCTTTAGACTAAAATACATCTTAGTTATTAAGCTTGATAAATTACAGTGGAATTCTATGGTATTGATTAGTAATTTATGATTTTTTAGTTATTCAAATGTTTATATAAAACCTAAAAAAATAATTTTGTTTCATATCCTCTATGTGCAAAATTTTTAAAGGCTTAACAATCTACATCCAGCAGCAACTGAGTACAAAGGTCGTAACTAGAAGAGATAATTGTTTGCTTTACTGTTCTATGTCTTAAGAACTTATTTTAAAATTGGAATAATCTATATACATAATGTATAATAATTGAAATGTAACTGTATTTTACAAAATACCAGTCTATCAAAACCAGTGACGGATTTAGATCTGGTGAGACCCTAAGCTATATAAAACTTGGAGGCCCCTTGTTAAAAAGTTACACCAGAAGGTCTCACAAAGGTGCGTACCAAAATGGGACCTTGGGTTGCCACAAAAGAATTAAAATCATATATATATCTTTAATTATTTAATAGCAAGGTATTTAAAGTGAAAAATTACATATTTATCATTTGGCAGTTTTATGTTATTGGGTACAGTAACATGAGTGCACACATGCCGCAAAATTGTAATTTCTGTATTGTAAGCCAGGCATGGTTGAAAGGTCAATATAATAAAAATAATAAATATATATAAATGTATAATGTTATGAGATTTAAGGTATTTTGTCTAAACATTTATGTTTTTGGATTATAATTTGTGTTCATTCTAGAATTAAAGAGGCATAATTTATATTTATTTCCTAATTTTTATAGTGGTTACAAGATCAGGTCAAATCTACCAAACCCGTACACAGATTCAGTACTGAAAATAACAGATAAAATATAATATAAAGTTTTTTCTTAAGAAACGTTTGATAATTATCTGGATATTAAAAAAAGATTTTGCATGTGAAATTTGAAAATTTTATGATGCATAAAAGTATTTTAAATCTTAAGATGAAAATTACTTTGCATGCTAAATAGGCAACATGCAAAAAAAAAGAGGCATGAGAAAAACATTGGTTTACAAACCTTAAGACTTAATAAAAAACTTGATATTTTGCATATGAAAGCATTGTAATGTTTACTGATAATGTGCCAAATTTCATTAACATTCACTCACTTACTTTAAACATTATAGTATGAAAACTATAACAAGCACAAAATGGTTATGAGTTCGGTCCCAAGGACTGAGCCCATGTTGAAACAGTTAAATTTGGGTATGAATTACATGAAAATTTCCCCATTCTCTATTTTTCCTGATTATATTGAAATTTCAAATATTCTTTACCAAGGTTATATAATCTATATGGTTAAATTATACCTTTGTCATCTGAAACAGTTTCATAAGTAGCTAAGTATCCAATAATTTCTCCATTGGGGTTTTGAGGAGGTAGCCAACTAACATTCAGTGAAGTCATTGTGATGTCGGAGAACATAAGCTGTCCTGGTGGTCCAGGAACTGAAATAGAAGAAGGAGAAAATTATAGTTCTAACTGAATAATGTTTTATTTTAGTTACTTCTCTAGTAACAGTGCTTCAAGGCTAGTTTTCAGTAGTAGAAACCAATTGTTTTTAGAACAACACTAAACACGTCAATCCACAGCTAGCATAAATCGGCACTTAAGGCAGCACTATTCCTGACTAGTTAAAATTTCATTTATGTATCTAAATAATACAGCTGCACATAATATCTCAATCTACTAGCAACTCATCAAGACTTGTCTATTAGTTATTTAAATAAAACAAAGATATAATAAAAAGATCAAAAGATCTTGACTTCATAACTGACTGGCAATTTCAACTTTTTATGAAACCTTTAACTGATTAAACAGCATCTAATAAAATTAGATATTATGTATTTGAAATATTTATTAAAACTAGCTGAAGATATCCATTAAGGAAGCAAAACCTGTATAAAGGACAATTTTAGATAATGTTTTCCTTCCTTCTTTTTTTTGTTATTAAATCCCTAATGACCTCATTAGATGCTAATTACATACCTGCTATAGGGAAGGTAATAATTAACCCACTTAACTGATTCAGTACTTGTTTCTTTAAATTCAAAGTCAAAAGTCTATAAAAAAAGTGAAAATGTGCCATATTTCAAGGTGTGTTTTATCCCTTTCTTGGGCAAGAACCATAAAAAAACTTCCATTTTATGATGGATAATGTTTTTGTCCCATTTGTACTGAATAGTTGAAGGTTATGAGGAAACTTTACAACAAAAACAAACAGCATACACAACATTGAAGCACAGATGTGATGAATGAGTTATTTTTAAAATCCATTTACAGTACCTTTAAGGTCATTAATTGTACTGATTAAGTAAATTTTTAAGACAAAAACAGCTTTTAAAACATATTTGACTCCTTTTAACCCTTAAAGAGGGGCTCAATCAATTTGACCAAACTTCTAGCCAACATGTGACCATGTAAGTTAACATTTTCCTAATTTGAAAATGGATTTCAAAAATGCTAACTTCCTTGAGCATCTGGCTAGGAGATTTACATGCCACTAGTCTTGAGCTAACTTCAACATGTTTAACATGAACTGCACTGGTGCATGATGATATCAAAATGCAACAAAAGCCCTCAACCAGTAGGAGGAAGATACAACCTTCATGCACAGTAACTCCCTACATGTACTTACACTCATGATAACATCATTTTTTGATGAGCAAGAAAAAAAATGTTTACCAAAAATGGGGAGTACAAGTAGGAATGTGTATGGAGGTATCTATTGGAAATACATTTTCAAATTAGGAAATTGTTAACTTCTCAGATGATAACTATCTTCCACACACATTTCCAGCTAGAATCCAACACTGAATTGGTGGAGGGGCCAGTGCAAAATCTTATGTAGATAAGCTCCCCTCAGAAAGGGAAGCCCATGAAATAATGACACCTGATGACAGGGGCTCTATAGGAGCACACCAGTGGAAAATCACATTTTGTCTTCACCAGGATATACCCTTCATCCAGTGAAAAAAGCAGGGATAGATGAAAGAGCCTGAAGTGTCGCTAGGGGTAGACAGAATGTGATCGTGACCAACCAAGTACTAAAAAAACAAGCATTTGTCAAGCAAATATGTGTAATGTGGTTGGGGCTCGATCATAATGTACTGAACAGGCTTTAGATGCAGGAGGAAAACACATTAGTTATGCGTTATGTTGACGAGGGTTGACCGAAATTACACTGACAGTGTCATCACCACACTCAATTTTCACTGTATTGGACTAAGTCCAACCTGTGAAGATTCTCCATGGTCTATTACCAAAACTGTTAGGAAATGGTAAGTGACAAGGGTCTTCTGTGCTCCACTCAAAGAGAAAAGGAGGGAAGTTTGCATTGGGGAAACATGGAGAAGCACCTAGATCTCCTTTGGATTACCAACTGGAGACAGCACAATGGGTGATCATTAAACTCTAACTGTAAAGCTGGCAAGCTCAAGCCAAAGAAATGGGCAGACACTTCCTTGGTGAAGGTTTTTTCTATGATTGTCCACAGAATTGGTAAAGTATGGATCGGGCAAAGAAGTAAGTATGTATACCATAAGGATACCTCAGGTAGTTTTGTGGAACACTTCATCTTGCAGTGGGCATTGGTAGAGCCAGGATGGATGGTATTAGTGATTTCCATTATCCTGGCCTGATGCAAATTTGGGAAATAAGCATGCCATGGGAAGCAACACCAATCACCTGGCAGGATCCTATAAAAGTAGAAGGAGATCTAAAAAAGAAATTGTACTTATCTTTTTCAAATACAATGTGGATTGAAGAGTAGCAACTGGAGGGATTCAAAACCCTGCATGAGACAAAACAGCCAGATCAAGAAGATAATGAGAGACAAATGTGTGTGAAAATGTCCACATGCTAGTTTGAGGGATACTGTTCAAGAATCAGTAAAATTGAGATGCAAGAGAGAGTGAGACAGGTGGAAAAGGTGATTTGACAAAAAGTTAAAAAACCAGTAAGCATCGATATCAGGTGAAGAACACACCAACCGTTAAAAGAGATGTTCATGTTAACAGTCCGAAACAGACACAGAAGAGGATATGGGGTAAAACTAGCATAGATGCAATAAATAGAAGGGAGGTAGATCATAGAGAGAGAAAGAACAACCACCTACCAAGGCAGCAGAAGTCTGAGGAAGAAGGGTCTGGTCAGAATACATGAATAAATAATTAAGGAGAAAGAAAATATGGAAAGTATTGATGGCATAATAATCTGAATGACATCAACCACAGGTGAGAGGGAGAAGGAAGCATGTCATGAGAGAAAGATGGTATAAAGAACAAGAAGGCAACAGCTTAAACAGGGCATGTGTGATAGCAAGTAAAACCACATGAAGGTCCCAGTCAGACATGGGAGTTGGTTGATGGGTTTGGGAAAGAAATAAAAGACAAGAACAATGTGGAGAGGGGAAGAAAACAAGTGATGATAATGAAAAGAATGCAACAGATTGGTAAAGTTGCCCAACAACAAGCCATGGTGGATTAACACCAATCCAAGGATAAACAAGTAAGGTCCTATCAGAGCAGAAGAGTAAACAAGGATGTTGAAAGACAGTACAACAGTAAGTACTGATGATATAGACCTATGAGAGATGGTGACCACAGGAAAGTAAGTCTTGAGAGAGAGATAATATAAAGAAGAAGAATATAAAGGCATGAATGGGGCACATGTGAGAGTTGCAAAGCCACATCAAGGTCCCTGTTAGGCATTTGAATCAGACAAGTAGGTTGGTGAAGGATGGTAAAGGGAAAGCCAGAAATTGGTTGACAAAGATGCCTGATAATCAGTAATAGCAGCGACTGTCAATCCAAGGTTAAACATCCAAGTGAAAAAGGCTGAAAGGTGAGATATAGTATGATGACGTATGAGAAGTGGTAGACGAACAAAGAAAAACCCACCACTGCCATTGAGAGACAAACAAAGTTGAAGGATGATAGGAATGGAATAAGAAGGCTACAAATATGGAGGGTCTAATCCTGCACGCAATGGACCAGACATATCCCACATGCAAAGATGAAGGGGGCAACACCCTTGGATGAAAAAAAGACATGAAGTTAGATCAAGATAGAGAAGGAACAGAGTAGTAGAAGAGAGCCATCACATCAAATGACAATGCTTTTCTTTATCTTATAGATTTCATATTTCATTTGCATAATCTCTAGAACCTCGTAAAAGGGTATCAAAAACTTAAGATAAATTTATATATTTTATATTTTTCATTTTCTCTACTATATCACTAACTAGCTATTATCATGAATGTACAATGCAATGAAATAAATAAAATTAGAAAATAACAAAAAATACATACTTTATAATTTTTTGTACAATATCTTTAGAGTTTCCTTTTGTTAAATTCATAATTTCATTTATTTTTCACATAATTAACTTTTAATGTTTCATTTTCCCATTCTTGTCTTTTATGACTTATTATTCATCTCGACACAAGTCAATAGTGCCCTTGAGGCACATTACAGTTTCTTTGGGAGACATGCACCACCCTTTGGCAAAATTTTCGTTCAGCTCGTAATATCGCAAGCCTTGAGAACAGATGCAAAGTATGATGTATATTTAAAAAATGTTTGAATCACGTTTTGATTATGCATTTTAAAACATAACTAATACATAATTAACTAAAATATAATAGTAACACCTAACTACAATATCAACTGTATCTTCATCTATAACATATTTACGTAAGATACAACCATAAGTGCTATAGTTGATCAATCAGCCAACAATACTACAGTCAATTTCACGTACTCTATGACAAAGACTTGGCACCAATTTCAAAATAACCATTGTTAGTTTATAATGTAAAATGAGCTTTTTCTAATTATTATATATATGGAAGGGATAAAACTCAAACACATCTGGTGAAGGTAGACATGGCAGCTGTCAGGGGTTGAAAAAATTTATTACTTGTTTTAACTGTATTCATTCAGAGTACTTTGAAAGGAATGAGTCAAAAGGTTATGTAAGTACCTTAGTGGCTAGATGTACCTCTACTCTATTACCATTGTAGTATTGAAGATACAGAGAGCCAAAGTAGAGATTTTTCATAGCTTGTTGGTCACCTAACAATACATCTGAAGTTTTAATAGTTTTTAAAGGTTTATCTTGTAATAAAGGGCTTAAAACTTGAATAAAATAAAACTTAAAATCATAATATTAAATTCATTCACATACATTGATAGTAAAGGTGTTTAATCAACTTCTGAATGTAACACATTGTCTTGAGCAAAAAAAAGTGTTTAAAGAGGCTCCCGTTGCGAAAGGGTTGAACTTACCTACATATTACGTGTATATATATTATGTCACAATGTTTACATAAAAATGACAAGCCATAAAATATTTCCACTAAACTTGTATATCCTAACACTTACTAAAGTGTATTAGTGATTCAATATCATCCAATAATTATTATTGTAGCTATGGATGTTGATGACTTATTAGAATACTTCTTTTGCACCCACTAATACCTGTTTTTATATTACACTGATTTTTGTTTAAGAAAAGCCATTATCATGTAAAAAACCAACTGAGCTCAGGTGACATACATGGTATGTATACTTACGATCTTCTTTGGTTCTGACAAGCACAGCTGGTGATCTGGGACCATCACCAGCAGGATTGAATGCCAAGATCTGTACACTATATTTTGTATACTTTTTCAAATCAACCAAGGTAAAGTGCAAGGTGGATACAGGGAAAGCTTCCATTTGTTCTGGTGTATTGGGCAAGTCTGGCATTTTGTAAAAGATCTGTTAAGGAAAGAAGGAATGAATAGGGTTGATTTATTCAAATTATCTGAAAAAGAAAAATTATATAAGCCCTAAGCGCAAAAAAAAAAAAAAAAAAAAAATTAGGTCTTTGTCTTGCTTCAACTCTAAATATCAGAATATTCTAGTATTTTGTATATTAAAACCT